CGTGCGCGTTAGTGGGATGTCTTGCGCAATTTAGACAGGGGTTCTGATTCGGAGTCGCCCTCTTCCTCCGACGAGCAACCATCTTTCTCGTCTCCTTCGCCTTCGTCCTCCTCGCCACTGCCATCAGTCCCATCGCAGCCACCGCTCCCGTCGTGACCATCATCGCTGCCATCACTTTCGTCACTGCTGCCATCATTTTTATCACCGCCGCCACCACTTTTATCGTTGCTTGTCCCTTCTGGCGCTGCTTCCTCCTCCTCTTGCACGGGCTCCTTCCGCGGTCGTCCCCGCTTTCTTGAGACACGTGCGGGTGCAKGACCTCCTGCCAAATTGTCACCTTCCACGTCCTGGGCCTCCTCCTCATCACCTGTCCCGCCTTGAGTTGCAGCATCCTTCCGAGGTCTCCCTCTCCCTCGTTTGGCCGGGATCGAGGGCGGTGCACATGCAATYGCCCTCGCAGCTTTGTATTTGTTGGCATGCTCAACGGTCATGGTCCTTGTGGCCTGATCCAACTCGATCAAATGTTGCCAGGCCAGAAACTTGGAAGCCTTTGTGGCCTTCCTCCACGACTCGTTGAGCTGTCTCTCGAGTTCAAGAAGATTGCTGCGCATGACGTTGGACTATGATCTCCTCTGGAACAGGCGTTTGTGTTGCTTCAACGGGATTGTCGTCGTCGTCGGAGCCTGAGTCATCGTTCTCACTTGCGTCACTAACCGGCTCTGTTCTGTGCAGTCGGGCACGCCACTCCGCCAACCGCATTTGTGCATCCGCGGCCATCTCAGCCCGTGTGAGATCTTCCACCGGTTCATCCTCTTCCCATTGCGGTGAATCCTTGTCAGCCTTCGGTTTCTTAATCAAGGCATCCAACAAATGCTGGTTCCATCTGTTGAAAACCAGCGTGTTGAGCTTGATGGCGCCGAGGTTGTTACGGAGACGACTATGAATTCGTTCGAACAAGCTCCAGTTCCTCCCGCAACAAGAGGAGGAGGACGCTTGTCCAAGCAGACGAACGGCTTGCTTCTGGAGGATGGGCATGTCACTTTACCACTTCCTCCACCACCTCGCCGGCTGCATCAGACGGGCTTGAGTCCTTGCATCTTCACAACAATGGCGCCCAGTGCCCTCAATCCAAGAACAAACCTCTGCGTCGACCTCAGCAAACGAGGACTCTTTGAACCACGAGTAAAGCCACATCCAAAACCCATCTGCAACCTCTGCATCCATTTCTGGCTGCGACGCTCTGTACTCCGGATCCAAGAACAGTGCAGCACAATGCAGCGGCGATGTCATTGCGTTCCAGCGCCGCATGATGATCTCCTCCATTTCCTCCTTCTCCGTTTCGGCAAAGTGATTGCTCTCCCTTAGTTTCTCCACTGCGCTGTCTATACGGGCATACACCTTACTGATGGTGGGGCCCGTGCCATCGACCTTCTTCAAC